TTTATCACAGTTAACAGTCCAAAACTGCAAATTTTAATCTAACAGTACTATTTGTTACTTTGAAATTGACAATAATTTATAATTTCTGATATCCACCTGTAAGAATCAGTTAGTCTAAAGGACCATGTTATTAACTGATAGATCTTTAGGTATTGTTGCCAATATACTATTAAGAGATGAAGGAATATCCTTTCACCAGGGAAAATAAAAAAAATTAAAAATAAAATTAAGTAATCAAAATCATTCCGTAATAGCATAAACGAGCGGCTTTGCCAACTAGTTATAGACTCTTCTAGTACTTAGGGGTACAAACGCCGAGGGTTCACAAATTATTGGAATAATTTAAAATTGGTTTTGTAAAGGGGAGGCGACAATATTAATAAAATTAATTAAACAGTAACATATGTATTTGTAAAATAACTATTGTTCACCCAGTGGTCGAAATTTGACCATAATTATTATTGAACAATTGAGGAAAACATAATATTATGCATTTGCATGTTACTCTTATACATTCTTTCATTGTATATCTGTAACCAAAAAGTTAAGAACTATAAATAATTAAATAAAAATACATTGAATAAAATAAGTAACTTACCATTTAAAAACCCTCATTTATTGATATAAAACAATTTTAATTTGAGGCTACTCTTGGACCCTATCACTCTACTATATCCGACCTCAGCTTGCATCCTGTTACGAATCATATCGAAAATAATCAATAACAACATAGAAAAGGTATCCAAAAAGGACGGGAGGGAGGTTATCCTACTTTTTCTATTTTTTTATTTTGTTCTAGTTTTTTTTATTTTTTCTAATTTTTTCTAATTTTTTCTATTTTTTTCTAATTTTTTCTAATTTTTTCTAATTTTTTCTAATTTTTTCTAATTTTTTCTATTTTTTTCTATTTTTTTCTAATTTTTTTCTAATTTTTTCTAATTTTTTCTAATTTTTTCTAATTTTTTCTAATTTTTTCTAATTTTTTCTAATTTTTTCTAATTTTTTCTAATTTTTTCTAATTTTTTCTAATTTTTTCTAATTTTTTCTAATTTTTTTTTAATTTTTTCTAATTTTTTCTAATTTTTTTCCAATTTTTTTCTAATTTTTTCTAATTTTTTTTTTCAATTGTTTTCTAATTTTTTCTAATTTTTTCTAATTTTTTCTAATTTTTTCTAATTTTTTCTAATTTTTTTCTAATTTTTTCTAATTTTTTCTAATTTTTTCTAATTTTTTCTAATTTTTTTCCAATTTTTTCTAATTTTTTCTAATTTTTTTTTTAATTTTTTTCTAATTTTTTCTAATTTTTTCTAATTTTTTCCAATTTTTTCTAATTTTTTCTAATTTTTTCTAATTTTTTCTAATTTTTTCTAATTTTTTCTAATTTTTTCTAATTTTTTCTAATTTTTTCTAATTTTTTCTAATTTTTTCTAATTTTTTCTAATTTTTTCTAATTTTTTCTAATTTTTTCTAATTTTTTCTAATTTTTTCTAATTTTTTCTAATTTTTTCTAATTTTTTCTAATTTTTTCTAATTTTTTCTAATTTTTTCTAATTTTTTCTAATTTTTTCTAATTTTTTCTAATTTTTTCTAATTTTTTCTAATTTTTTCCTAATTTTTTCTAATTTTTTCTATTTTTTTTTTATTTTTTCTAATTTTTTCTAATTTTTTTTTAATTTTTTCAAATTTTTTCTAATTTTTTACAATTTTTTAAATACTCGAATTTTGTAAAAATGTTCACCACCACTACATTTAGAGGGGGTGAATTGACTTCTCCTTTGAGGAGAAAAATTTTTCGTCTCAAAATCCAATCTGTCGTACCAGAACTTAATTTTCATATATATCGACCTACCCTGTGGTAGGGAGTGAAGTAGGGACGTGGAAAAAGTTGGGCAGTTTAAAATCGTTTCAGTCTGGACCTATGGGCCTGCTCTTACTTTTTTATCCCTTACCATTTAGGTGTGGCAGGGGTAAGTGATTTACCACACACACTCATGAGATAATATGATTTTAAGATCTCTATATCCATTTTTACTTGATTAATTTGCGATGCTATGTTGATACCTTTAAAAAAGTTTATTTCGTACTTTATTATTTCTTGTAAAAAGATGTGGATAGTTACCTTCGGTCATGGACACAGTGCTAGAAAATCGAACAGGGACGTTTTCGCTAGCAGGTCTAGACTGAAGCCAATGCCACAACTTATTATACTTTTTCACACACATTTATTTATTTCGTGTGCCTCTTCGTTAACAGATTGGTCACTTATCAAAGTTACTTGTGATCATCATTTTAGGTCCGAACATAAAAGTGATAAAACCTTATATAGGTCTATCATGTGCAATAAAGCGCATAGCAATCTTCATATATTCTGTACGATTTATCTAATAATACATATGCACTAAGGTATGATACACTTGGATACAAACTTATTGCTAATAGTTGATCTGAAAAATGGAAATTGGAGACAGGTGCTGGAAGAACACGAAAAACTCAAGCTTTATTTTTGTGACTCTGTATTATCACAGAATAGAGAACAAAACAGAAAATAAACAGGGCTAGTTCCACCACAGAGATACTCTGAGAAAACGTATCTATTTTGTTGGAAATAAAGAAAGAAATAAGTATTTTAATAAAAAAGAATGCAATTACTGCTGGGAAAGAAAAAGGTGGTACAAGGGTCACACTATAGAAAAAAAAATCTGCAAATATGATGCATGAATCTGACGAAGACGAAATAGCGTATCCTTCAAGACATTTAGAAGATAACTTATCCAAATTGGAAATGGATCTTGGATACCGGTGCCACCTCACATATAACAGGTAATAAAGAAGCTCTCAGTTATATATGTCCATATACTGGTTCGATTCGACTGGGAAACGACAAAAAAATTATTTCCACTCTTATTGAAGACGTTAAATTACAAGCACTTCTACCTGATGGTTTAACTGTTAAGGTGACTCTTTTTAATTTATAATGTAATATATGCATCCGAGTTACAATGTAGCCTAATGTCTTGGGAGACTATAAAAGCCAAAGGTATAACCTTGACAGGAAGCAAAGACAATAAATTATGGAAGAATGGAAAAATGGTTGGATGGATAGTATCTCAGAAAAAAAACATGTTTTTCAAGAGAAAGTTAATGATATCGCAAATACCAGTCTTGCAGTTTGGCACAGACGGCTAAATCATGCAACACCAAGTACATTTGAAAACATAAAAAATGCTATTGCCGATCCACAAGTTATGCCGGAAAGTAATATTAAAATTGACTGTGAAGTATGTGCAAGATCAAAAATTACACAAAAATCTCAAAAGAACCAGGTGCTAGTTCTAATGACATTTTTGAAAAAATCCATTCTGATCTAGCTGGACCATTCGTGAACTTTATAATATCACTTTTATTGACGAATATTTCAGATACGTAGAATTCGTAGAAGTAGCATTTCTTAAAAATAAAAGTGATGCTGAACTATCTATCAGAGAATATATCTCCAAAATAGAGCTGCAGACTGGAAAACGGGAAAAGACTTTCAAGTCAGATAATGGTGGAGTAGACGTTTGTGCTTCATTATGCAACTATTTTAAAGCCAAAGGTATAAACAATGAAGTTTCAATACCTAATGTTCATTAAACAAATGGTTTGGCTGATAGTCTCAATCGAACACTTGGCACTATGTGCAGAACAAGTCTAATTGACTCCCAGCTACCACAATCGCTATGGGCAGAAACAATTTCTCGTGCTGTATACACAAAAAATGGAATTCCTCATATTTTTCATAACAAAACGCCATATGAAATGTCAAAACCATCGGTTTTTCAACTAAAAACATTTGGACAAAAGGCATATATCTATCTACCTGAAGAAACTCGTGGTTCAGAAAGCAAACTAGCACTAAGAGCAAAACCAGCATTTAAAGACAACAGGGGAAAAAGGATGAGGGTCACAATTTCAAAGTTTTGAGTAAAATGCATTTTAAAATTCAGAACTATGTATTTTCCTAATGTAAACTTTTTCGGAAATAACAAATTTTTAGGTAGTTAGCCTGTTTATTTTCTTTCGAAAAAATAACTTCTTACTGATTTTTTTTAAATATAGGTATCCGAACAAAAAAAAATAAAATGAGGTTATGTACATAAAGTCAGGGGAAAAAAGATGTGGGTCGACAAACAAAATATAACTTTAGTCGCATGGTAAATTCTTAAAGTAAAGTTGAGCTTCTAGACTACAAAAACGTTATAATTCCTGCAAGTTCTGGTGCTTCTTAGTATTAATGGGAATCCTGTCTTCATATTTTAAATCTGACAGTTCAAATTTCCCTGAAGGTAGATCTGAAAATGCAGGGTCTGCATTGACTCCATTTTTTGATTTATTTCTAACTTGTTTCCCTTTTTTGAAGGTGACCTGTTTTTTCTTTGTTGGTACTGCAACATTTGATATGAATCCTCCATTGTAAGAGTCGCGATGATTGATCATTCTGGGTTCTTCTTTTTTTATTAGTAATTCCCTTATTGGGCGACTTTCAAAGGGACACTTTAGGACGTAATAACTTTTCAGATGATCAGTCCAGCTTCGAAAAATCTTTTGGTCTTCACAGCTAATCACTTTAAAAGGGCTTGGTTTAACGCGGGCATTACGAACGTAATCATCCTAACCAGAGGGAAGCTCGACATAAGCTTTAAAATTAATTAATCCCATATTGCGATCACATTCCATGTAGCTGTGTCCTCTAATAGGAAAAAACATTTTTACACACTGAAGTTGACCTACTTTGTGAACAATATAATGAAGTAGTCGGAACAAGGTATAATTTTTGTTCTGTCCACAACACGAATCACAAAAAATAACAAGTTCTTGAACTTCTGGATTCAATTCATTGATAATGTAATGAAACAGAATGGAGGCTACTTCATCTGATCCTTTCTTGGCCGCTGTTTCCGTATAAGTATAAAAAACGCCTCACCGCTGGCCAAAACGTGAATGTTGAATAAGTAGAACGCTTATTGCTTTTTGTAGTATACGTCATTAGTGCTAATGTTGGGCAGTTGCAAGTTTTTTTGATAGTCCATGGCAATGGCTTCAATATGACCGTATTGTTGAGCTCTCTTGCGTTCGGGTCGTTTTCTTTGGTTAAAAGACTCAGTCTTCTTAAGATGAAGTTGTTGATTCATATCTAGTGCAGATGAATTTGAAGCCTGTGATGGATTTGCTTTTTTTGCCTTATATTCATCCATGTATCACTACGCGTGTAAACAAAACTGATGTTGAATTTGTTTACAAAGATGGAGCGATATGATTCATATGAAATTGACTTCGTCGGATGTACTTCCTTAAACATCTAGAACATTTTTTTATGTTTAACTCCTTTGGCAAATAGATTTTTTAGACTTATAAAGACTATAGTGTGACTGTCTACCTTTAAATGACCGAATATGACCACAGACTGCATCGGTTGTTTTTTATCTAGCTTATTTGGCCGATTGGTATGTCGACCCCGACAATCTTCACCAGCATGTCCATCTTTAACAAGCTTTTGTTGAATATTTTGAAGGCGCTTTGCTGATATTCCATGTAGTGAGAGCATTGCCTTGTAGCAAATAGGAATTTCTTGGGTACCGTTTTCCCGCATCACTCTAACCTTAAAACAAATTAACCACTGCAAAGAAAGTAACGACACTAAAATAATATGTATTACCTTATATTTGTAGAAGAAAGAATGATAGATTACATCTTCATCGTTAGCTTCTCTTTGACGACGTCTTTTAACTGGTTCGTGCGAAATGAGACCTGCTAAATACAAGCTCTGCTCATTATGCGATTTCAATTCATTGAAGTTTCTTATAATCGCCAAACGGTCTTGAACACCAATAACATTGAAACATTTTAACCTTGAACACTGACAACTGCTACCGGTTTCATGTGTTTGCAATCTTAGTTTTTTCGAGGAATCAAAAACACGTCCGAGTTTTGGTCTTTTTTTAGTTAGAGACTGCACATCACAATCAGTTATCTTAAAAGTTGAGTGGAAAAACACGTGTACCACAATACCCGCACGTAACCTAATTGGACTTAAAACTAAAGCGAACTAATTCACTTCGCTGCTAAACTTGTACTGAGTGTACTGACCGAAGGCCGAAGGACACAGGCAAGCCTGTCTATAGTGGAAAGTTTTTAGACTCTCATCCGTTTTGCGTAAATCGAGTGGACTGTCATCGTTTTTCCCCTGTGCGGTATAAATTAAAATGCATTTTTACACGGTACTCTCATCTGTTTTGCTCTTTATAGTGTGATAGACAGAAAGTATTGGCAGTTGGTCGTGATTTGCAGTGTTTATCTCAAATCTTAATTTTTTGGACCCTCATCCTTTTTTCCCTGTTGTCTTCATTTATTGTCTGTTGGATATGCCAATAAAAATGGATGGTATAGAAGCTGCTGGTAAAAAGACAGAGAAGAGTAAGGTACAGTTACAACCTGTTGCAGGGGGAAAAATAAAAGAAACTATTTCGGAAAGAAGTGCCAACACCACAATGCAATCTAATAGCTTACAAGTTATAGAAACCAACAAAGATAGACCAGAAGGCCAATATAATACGTTAGAAGGTAATAACTCCATTGAACTTATTAGTAATCATAAAGAACCAGCATTATCAGAAAATACTTTAGGGCTTATTTCGAGAAAACATATAGCGGTAAACGAACCTAGTTCGTACTCAGAAGCAATATCTGGAATTGTTAAAGAAAAGTGGCTGGGCTCTATTAAAGAAGAATTGGAAACTATGAAGAAAAATCATGATTCCTATACTTTCCTTATATCTGTATACAGATAGGAAAGTAAAAATGATATGTGGGACGTCGTAGATGCTATTATTAATCAAAAAGTTGTAGGATGTCGTTGGATTTTTAGAAAAAAAAGATCAGAAACAGGTGAAATTTCTAGGTATAAGGCAAGATTAGTCGCTCAAGGTTTTACGAAAATTACTGGTATTGATTTTGAAGATACTTTTTCGCCGGTAGTAAGATATGAAACTATTAGAGTTTTACTTGCTCATACACTACATTATAATATGTTTACAATAAGATATTAAGACGGCATTTTTAAATAGCGACTTGGATTTTTAAATTTTTAAGAAAGTTCCAGAAGGGATGAATGTTGAACCAGGGAGAGTATGTCGCCTTAAAAGAAGTATTTATGGGTCAAAAAAATCTCCAAGACAGTGGATCATGAGTTAATATCAGTTCTTGAGCAAATCTCCTTGAGAAAATCATCGGCTAACTCATGTATGTTTATATTTATTGATAACAGACAAATTGTAGCTATTAATGCAGATGATTTACTAGTTATTGGCGCTACTGAAGAGGATGTCAACATAATTGAGCATCATCTTGATAAAAATTTTGAAGTCACTTTTCTCAGAAAACCTAAGTATCTTCTGACAATTCAAATATCCTGGTTTGATGATTATTTAACACTATCTCAAGAACAATACATTTATTAAATTTTAGATAAATATAATCTAAATAATTGTAACCCCACTTTAACGCCACTGGATTATGGTACAATTTTAGAAAAAGCACAACCAAATGATGAAAAGGTAGACTAAAATTAATACCAGTCTTTGTTGTTCCTAGCAATTCGTACAAGACCAGACATATTATATTATGCAGTAAATACTGTCACAATTTTGTGTCGATCCTATAGTTTTTTATAATAATTTGGTTCAGCATCTTTTTAAATATATAAATTATATATTTACAGCGATGCATCTTAAGTAAGTTCACACACTGATAGGCGCTTTTATAATGGTTATATTGGTCTATATGGACAAGAGATGGTTACTTGGACATCTAAAAAGCAGAACAGCGTTGCAGTATATGGCTCTACCACTATCATGTAGACAAGTCATTTGGTTATCATATTTATGTAATGATCTTGGACAAAACCTTATTCCAATATTATATAGATGTGCATTATCATTTTGTTAGAGAGAAAGTCCTCGGAAATAGCGTTTAAGTCAAGTACTTAAATTCAAAGGAAAATATAGCAGACCTATTTACTAAACCTATAAGTAAAGCTGCATTCAATTATTTAACTGGAAAATTTATGATGAGTTTATCCCGTGGGAGAGTGTTGGAAGTACAAAAAACTCAAGCTTTATTTTTGTGACTCTATATTATTATATTTTCTTAGTTCACATTGCATTGTCATTTTGATAGTCTTTTGATAATTTGTAAAATATATTTTCACCTGAAAAATTCTGGAAATATTTATTTAATTTAAAAACAGGTACTCGAGTCACAGAAATAGGGCTAGGAAATTTTTAGTTTTTTTAAATTTTGTAAATATTTTTATTATCCAAATTTTGAAAATCACCTCTTATATTTTCTATTAAAACTTGACTCAAAACCAATGCAAATGTGTTACTTTATCATTAAACGGGAAATTTTATCATTAAACGGGAAATTTATGAATTAAAATAAGCATTTAATTTATTTAAAATATAGTTAAATTTGTTATTACTATCGCAACTTTCACAAGCTTTATCAAATTTTTTTATTTTCGTTTTTCGCTTTACAGAAAAGTCACAACTTGTTTTCCTCCTGAAGAATCTCTGGTCACTCGTTACATAAAATAAGACATTTTGTAACTGGTTGCTATTTGGCTACTACTAGTGTCCTTTGAACGTAAAAGTTGCTGCATCGACAGCCCTATCCAAATTTTCGGCGACGACGCTCATGATCCTCCAATCTATAGTCAGAACACTAAATCTTTCAGAAAAAGGGTTTTAGCTGAAAACGCTGAGTCCGGAAGCTTCAATTTTTAAAATATCGTATAGTCGGTGAGCTCAATTTAACCATCAAGTTTATCTTGTTTGTTTTACGGCGGCTTTTACGAGCTTTTAGTTTGCTGTATACCTTCCAAGTACAAGGGAATAAATATTCCTTTTATTTCGTGGTTTTATATTTCGGAATTATTAAAAATACATAAATTTAAGTACTGCGAAGTCTTCTCATATAAAATAGAATATATAAATTTATTATATTATGTCGTTAATTTCTAAGTTTGACATATTTTACTATATAAGACAAGTATAATATTAATCAATGAAATTTTTAGATGATATTATGTGCTCTGACACCCTGCCAGTTAATTTTTATGATTTTGTGCTGTGCCGAGCGGCGGTTGTACTATAAAATAAAAATTGGATTAACGAAAACTTCTTTATTTCTTTTTTAGAAAAACTAAATGACTTTTTACAAAATTAAAATTATCAGATTCCTAAAAACTAAAACTAAATCCATGGTAACCCTAAATGCATTGCCACGACAACAGTAGGCACTGCCAAAATTGCAAGCTGTGTTGTCTAAGTATAATACCAGCTATATTTTGTTTCAATATCTGGTGAAGCATTTGGTATTCTCTTTTAGAGGTGCTCTCTATGCATAACCTATATAAAGACTAGATATAAGGAGGCAAATCGGTAATGATCAAATTTAAAATTTGTCCTTCTTTTTATAAAGTCCGCTAAATGGACTATAGTTGGCAGGTCGAACGTCACTGACGTTCATTTTCTATATAAGCGATTTTTAAAAAAAATTGGGGAAAACATTCAAAATAATGTAAAAAAAGTACCTGAGTACAAGTAACAAGAGTGACAATAGTAATTTGTGCAACAAGACTGGATATGATGGCCATATCGCACGAAGACGAAATTTGGGCACGACGCCGTAGGCGAGCGACATGGACAATCCACTCCAGTTGTGCAGTATATTTTTTCTATGACCCACTAGCGAAAAACTACAAATTAAAGAAAATATTTTAGGTTATTAAGACAAAATAACTAATTTTACTATAATTTATAAATTTTACTGATTTTTAAAATAAAATAAATATAAAAAAAAATAATTGCCAGCCGAGAATCGAATCCCAGTTTTTCGCGTGGAAGTCAAGCACACTGTCACGCGTCTACGTCAACTTTTACGAATTTGGATTTATTACACGTAATTAAAATAATCACAAAGTTTGATTAAAATTTAATTTTTTTTTTTTAAATATGGTCCAAATAAAAATGCTATTATTTATGATTATTTAACTATTCTACACAAAAATAACTAATTTTAATGTAATCTCAATAACTAAAAAATATACTGACAATTAGTTTGACAGGACTGTTCCTTATTTAAAATTTTAAAAATAATAGTAGTTAGGTGTCCAAAATATGAAATGTGATTTCATTTTCTTGCAGTATTCTCACTACCTAGAATGGATATGAAATATATTCGTTCGGTTAAACGCAATAATATACTTTTTCGTTTTGTAGTCTGTGAGTAGATAAGCTAATATCGATGTGAATGTAGAAAAAAAAAACATTGAAGCAAGATTCGTTCCACATTGTAAAACTAAAGAAAACACAAGGAGAAATCAATTCTATGTCTTTTTAAATCTTACTAATTTAAGTAAAATAATGTAAGTATTTATGTCTAAATATAATATTTATAGTAAACTAGACACAACATTAATCACTGAGTGTAGGAAACCGGGGTGCATATACGTATACTACAGACGCACAAGGTATAGCCAAACGATTCGGCTTTTTAAGATTTATCCGACCAATAAGAAAGGGTAGTAAAGTGCAGACGTAGCACAGCTTATACAATACAGCTAAAACACTCTCTTGGCGGCAACGGTTTGCGTCGATTTCGTCGCGCATCGCTTAAGCTCCGCCTTCGAAGGGAAAAGACGGTTTTGGTGTTCAGAAGCGTACTTAGGTAAGGTGTTGAGTCGTGCGTATAATTTCGTTGATTGTATAATTTCGTGGAGCCTATAATTTCGTTGATTGTATAATTTCGTGGAGCTT